ACTATAATTTTTTAAAAGCCTCGTGTATCTAAATAAAATTTAAAATTTATTTCAATGACCTCACATAACTCATTTTATTCATTTAATTAACAGCCAGACTAACAGAAAAAAAAATTATTTTTTTTTTCTCATAAAATTTAAGTGAATCAACATTTTAATAAATTTTTGCAATTTTAAAAATTTTCTCAACCAAATATTTTGTGCATTAAAACTAAAGCTTCATAAAATTAATTTTAGTCATATGAAGCAGACAGACTAATAAAAAACTAATTTTAATGGTTGATCAAAATATGAATTTTCGTACGGAATTTTTCTTGATAATCGTCTACCATAATAATTGTAACACGTTATGTACATTGTACATAATATTATGCCTTTCAGTTAATATGTTAACAGTCAAATGCAAAAATTTTAGACTTTAATACCATTTCAGATTAGTTATAGAAATGCTGTTTCTTTTAACTCTTAAGGATAATCTCTTGCAAATGAAAGCAAAAAATAAATGCGTTACCGCTGAATGAGTTGAAAATTTCTTTTAATTTTCCAAGTGATAGAAAGATTGTTGCTGAAATTTTGATGATATTCGCCGAAAACATTATTTATAGTTGTTGCTCATATTCGATTATATTTCGGCCATATTATTTTTGAAACATTTACGTGAATTTCAATAAAGCAACAATAACTCTCAATTCTTTTGCATTTCTTTAATTGGAAACATTTAAGTCCCGAATGAACATTACTAGTTAGGAGTCTTTCCTTACTTAATATTTGAAATATTTTTTAAAATAAACATAAGAACGTCAGCATTATTCTGATTTGTTCCAATATATTGTATCGATTACCTGAATTTTATATAATATACACTTACATACAATTGAAAGTAGCACAAATCAGAAAAAAATACAATTTTGAATACATATATGTGTTCTAACTGTTTATTTTACTTCATGTTTGAATTTCGTTGCCTTGTAACCATCCATAGAATCGCTAGTACTAGGATCGGCCATTATATTAAAAAGTCCAACGTCACATATTCATAATTCATTTTAAATTTTAACAATATTTCTAAATTAATTTCAATTATTAAATACGTGATTATTAAAAAATTAAAGTCAATTATCATTTACCATTTTTTTCGCAAAACATTCATTTTTATAAGGACATTAAAATATAATAAGTACGTGATGCAAACTTTGATTGTTGAATTTTGTTCTCGCAAAATTTTTTTACTGCATAGAATACTGGATAGAAAATAAATTTGAATGTAATCTGTACGTATGCGTAATATGGATAACTAGAAAATTTTACTAGCAAATACGAACAAATGACAATTAAATATAAAGATATAGAAAATATGTAAATGGCGAAGAAAGGTGGTGACAAAAGAAAAAGTAATCAAATCTTAAGAGAAATATGGTTATAATTATTTTACACACGATCATCCCGAATTTCAAAAAATGATTCACAAAATTTCGAATTAATCTAGAACTAAATTTTACTGAAAATCATTTTGTTGTTTTCAATATTTAATTTCCAAATAAATTTTTAACTAGAGTATTTTACCAAAAATATTTAATTTGCAAAAAAACGAAAAATTTATCTATGTAATTTAAGATCTAACATTAAAAAAAATTTTTTTAATAAAATTCTCCCACATGACAATATTATATAACTACAATATAAACAATTCCGGTAAATTCCTAATAAAAAAGTTGTGCAAAGAAAAAATTCAATTAAAAATTTGTCAGCTTAATGAAATTTTGAATTATTTTTATTGATCAGTGGCGGTCAATCTATAATGTATTTATTATAAAGATGTCTATTACAATATAATTGCACCTCCTTACTAAATTGCTATAGGCAACTCAAAATCCTTTGTGTTAAAAAAATCGTAGAACACGGGGAAATCCATTATGTAGTAAAAACATTATTGTAGTAGTAGATATTATAAAATGCTGATGTTATAATCTTAAACTTAACAGCGCATTTAAAATTAATTTCGGATCACTTGTACTTATAAACAATTTTTTTGATTAGTAATCCACTGTGAATAGCAAAATTATATTCGAATGATTCGAACAACACTAACAAATGGTAAAATAAGTTTGTACACCACTGAATTTCTTTTTTATTATTCAATCGGAAATAATGTTGATAGATTTGTAAAAATCTATACAATTTTAAAAATATTAGCTTATAAATTATTTTTTCTTCAATTTAAATATCAAATTATTTTTTTTATTAACTAAAACAATAAGATAAATAATTTCCGTAAATTCGCGTATTAATGGTGTGCCATCATCATTTTTATTTTTGGACTCAAGTACACAAAATATATAATATTATGTTAGACATATGCTATATTATAAAATAAAACTACAGTTTGATAAGACCATCATTGTGAAAGCAAATAATAATATTATGTGGATATATTTTAAAAAGGTTCGATGAAATGAAGAAAAAATTCGTTGATGTAAGTTTTGCTATCAAACAGTTATGAAGTGAAATAAAAGCACGAAACTAATTGATAAGTGAAAGAAATTTTATTGAGAGTCTCCAATAAGATTTTTCATAAAATGTTATGCGCGTGTACTTGCTCACATGTGAATGAAAGTTTTCGTCACTTGTATTTTCAAAAATAAAATTATGATAGTTATGGCACTTATAAGTCAAGTATTGGTTAAATTAATAATAAAATTTTTAATAAAAGTCTTCTTACAAAATCTTATCCAATTTACAAAATTGAAATACAAATCTGCAATGTAAAATATCAAAATTAATTAAGTAGCAATTTCGAACAATTCTCTCGAAAATTGTAAGTGACGTTCGTACAATTAAATAACGCGTACGGTCTTCCATAAATCACGGATAATTTCGATTATTAATTGAACACAATCCAAAAGACAAAATACTTATACATAATTATGCAAATATCTGCGTATTTGAACAATCAATAAACAAAACAATGCAATATTTTCGCAGTTTTAACGACACAAAGAACTTTTTTTACTTTTTTACTTCAAATATTTTAGTTATTTTAAAATTTTGTGCATTGACCTTTCCGGCTTATGACGTATAATTTACCGGACATTATTTATTGTTAACTGTAGCCGTTATTAAAGGTTAATATCTTTTGTATTTTATTTGATTTTTTTTTTTTTTGTTGTTCTTTGTCAAATTATTGTGTTAAAAAAACTTTTGTTTTGTTTTCAGTAGCTTAATATGGAACTATTTGGTATCTATAAAATAAAAAATTGCATATTATATTCATATTTAGTATGACATTATGGTAATCATTATAAAGATTTTAAAATCATTTTGAATAGAGACATTTTTGAGTGATGCAATCGATTTTGTTTTACCGTTGTATTTTTTTATATGGTAATCAATTTTATTATCGATTACAGTGCCTTTCGAAATTATCGATTTACGATGACTTTCGAAAATAATTCAACATTCTACCACAAAATTGCACTCCGAAGCGTGTTGAAAAGCTGTTAAGCAACAAATAACCATAGATGTGAATTCACATGCAAAAGATTGCAATTGTCTATACTAAATAAACCAAATATGAATTTTCATTTACGGTGATTTTAGCCTAACTGGAACTTGTTTTTTAAATAAATAAATAATATGCAAGTAGTACAAAAAATTTTTAATATTTCAAACCAAATTATTTGTGTAATTTATTGAAAATTTTTGATAGAATAATTCTTTTTGTCAATTAACCATTTTTTAACCCAATGCATTGAAATTTTTAAGTAAAACCATATAAAATGTAAATAAAAAATGGAAATTTTAGATTAAGCCGACTTTTTTAAAATTTAAAAGTTTTAGAATAAATCGTATAAAAATGAGATAAGTAATAAGAAAAACTAATTATGAAATAATTAAAAACTAAATATGAAATAACAAAGCTCCAGCGCACACTTTAAAAATTTCAGGAATTGCTACGTTTTCAAAATTTTATATCGTTTAAATAATTTTTAATTAAATATCGAGACAATTTGTAACAATTAGTGCCTATTAAGCACCAAAATTCCTTTTTAGGTTGTAAATATTTTCATTATACCTGCATTAAAAATGTTTTGTAATAATTTCGCTTTTTAAATATTTTTAAATAATTAATGGTTATTTTACGTAAATAATTTACATACGTCAAATAACAATAATTACCAGCCTTTTTTTTTGGTGAATGAATTCTATTGTATAATGTTATGCGAACGTAAAACATACTTAGAAATACACATATTCACATATGAATGTGTTGAGTAATGTGTAAAAATTTTGACAGGTAATTGAATGAAGATTACAAATATATTCAATATTTTTCTTATTATTTTCATTATTACCGTAATTATTATTAAATTTACAAATAACATTATGACTCAATTAAATGAAAGTAAAATGAAAATTTCAAATTTTTAAGAGAAAGAAAAAAATTCAAAAGATTATTAATTATTTTTTTTTCAACTTTGTGAGTTCATTACTCATTTTTTTTGGGAGTGAACTTAAAACATTTGCAAAATGAGAAATATTCATCAAAATTATAAAAAAGTTTTGCTTGAGAGCATACAAAATAGATTTTTATCATTGAACCTAATCATGAAGATTGAATACAACTTTGTTTAAATTGGGAAATAAGGCTCTGACCAAAAATTTTCATGGATTTTGTTTAATAGCGTTTTGAACTGGTTGGGGTTCTATATTTTTTATCAACTAAAATCAATCGACATTAAAGCATCAAACAAAAGCGTTTGACTATAAATAAACAAACTGATATTGGTATAATTTGGGGAAGTTTCCAAATATTTTCAGTTTCCAATATTAATTCTCCTTTCTTCATTTCAATGAATTTTAACGTTTTAATAATTTGTTTATTACTTTTCATACCAAATACGAGAAAAAGTTTTTATTTATTATGTTAGACTAAAATTACTATATAAAATTGTTCTCACTTAAAACAACATTCAAATTAATTCAGCTATTTTTTTTTACAGGTTTGCAGAGCCAAGTAAAAATGGATCTGCATAGGTGGATGTACTTGTTGTTTAAAGCTGGTAAGTACCATACACAATTTAAAATTAGTAAATTTTCAATAAAATAAATGAAGACTTTCCTTTAAATTCTAATGGTTCTTTGTTAACAAGGTTGTTCTTTCTTTTAAATTCTAATGGTTCTTTGGCATCCTAAATTCAGTTTTAAAAAAATTTTTTATCACAATTCTTAAAATCTGCAGTATTTATTAAAAAATGTTATAAAAGAATTTTATGATATCATCAATTAATAATATTCACAAACAAAGAAAAAACTTCAACTTCTACAAGAATCAAGACCGCAACGAAAACAAAAAGAATTTTTGAAAATTTTAATCACCTTTAATGGTTATAATCACCTATTTATTATAAAAATGATCTGCCGACATTTAATACGTATATTTTTGTATAAAAAAGAAAAAAATAACAATTAAAAAATGTTTGAAAATTTTTGAATATTTTAAACTTGAGAGAAATTTTCTATGGTTATAAATTTAAAAATATATTAATTTACAATTAAAAACCGTATAAGTTTAGAATATTTAATTTGCCAGAACAAATTACAAATTAATTTTACCAATTTGTTATTTATAATAAGCATAGTCAATGGATTAGAAGAATTAGTTTTTTTAATAGTAAGTTTTTAAAAGTATAACCTTAAGTGCAATTCATTGAGTTCATTTTGAACTAAAATTGAAATTTAGATGCTAATTGTTTATAAAAATGGATTTATGTAATAAATAGTAAGGCCAAAATAAAAATGATGATAAAAAAGAAAAAAAAAATAATGATAACTTTAGCCGAAATATACTACAATAAAAGCGAGACTTTGAAGTTGAAAATGTCTATCTCTCTTAACTTAATATTACAGCAATTTTCTACAATTCAATTCGCAATTTGCTGTACAACTTAATTGCTCATAACTTTTTTCAATACTAACTAGCTTAGGACATAAAAAGCAGCACAACACTTAAAATTTTTTAAATTTTATAATCCAAATCGTGCAGACATTATGCTAAATAATTGTGTGTAATAAAACTCTTATTTAAAATTCCAAATTTTACGATTGATTCCAAACTGTTATAATTTGTAAAATAAATACCTGTGATAAATAATTCATTAAATTATTAAAAATCCATTTAAAAATTTAAAATTTGGAAATCACAACAGTAAAAATATCAAAAAAGAAATAAAAACAAACGATAAAATGTCACACGTTTTTAATAATTCTGTTCACTAATTTTTGCATAAAAAGTGACTTTTTAGCATTTTTCCAGATCAAATTTGAAAAAATAGTGCTTGTTTGTTTCACTTAGTTCATCCGTTTTGATATAGGAAGCTGAAATTTTCGGTACAAATAGATTTTTATTAGAGACTTTTTTTTATAAAAGAAAATTTTTATCTATCTCCCCTTTTCTAAGAGTATAGGATTAATTTTTTGTAACTTTAATTTTGAGTTTATATTCTAGACAGCACCTTGTATAAGGCTAAAATTTTAACAGCTTCTTGGTATTAAAAAGGCCGTTATACTAATCCTTCTTTTAAATTTTTTCTGTTGCTGATCCCCAAATGTATGCAATAAATCAATATATTTCGGTATATGAATAAATGTAATTTGAATAAAGTCGTAGACTGTTAAACAACATTTTCAAGGAAAAAGTGCTTCCTTATAAATCGTTGCTTTGATCTAAGTTTATTTATTATGAAAAAAATTTTGTAATTTTTAAAATACGGTTTTATGTAAAAAAATTAATGTTTTTTGAAAGGGAATATAAAGATGAATAATGGAATATGTGAATATAAATATTGGGAAATTTTTAACAAATCAAGGGTTATTCAATAATATAGGCTATAAAAATATTAAAAATATACAAATTTATCTTTATGTAATTGAGTTTTATTTAATAAAAAATTCAGATCTGTTGCTACTTCATTAAATTAGCATTCAAAAATTCGAATTTTTGAGACACTTTCAAAAAGAATTAACTACATTAAAATAATTTTCCCATTAAGCTTTGTTCTTATTGGCAATAAGGTACACGTGTCATAGACACATTTGCCTTGGTGATCAGTAACGATTTGACAAAAATGAGGAATAAAGTTTAAGTACTAAATTTCGATATTTCAACAGTAAACAGTAAAAAAAAACAGAAAATTTGACAACAATTTCGACAAAATTTCAAACTAAACTCATTTATATTCTTTACAGTAATACCCATGATATAATTAACCCCTGTTAACTATACCTTTATTGTCAAACAAAATATTTTCAATCAATATTTCGATCATTCTTTAAACAGAACAGGGCAAATTTAAGACAATTTGCAAAGAATTTTCAATCAAAATTTTTTAAATACTAAAATTTTCCTTATTACACAAGTATAAACGTAATGCGGTCGGCAATAATGAAATTTTTTGCACTAATATCATGAAAGTGTCAATCAACACCATCTGATTGATATTTTAATAATTTCTTTCGGTTCATAATTATAAATTATTTCCACCTTCACCATATCTATATGAATATTATATAACTTCTATACATACATATACGCGTATACATAAGAAGTGAAATCGTCAATTTTCGCTTTCAAATAAAATTTCATTCGAAATTCATCATTAATAAAGTTATCAAAAAACCATTAAAAATAATTATTATGTGATGACAGTTGAATTGCATTTATTAAAGAAATTAATGTACCTTTTATACAACAAATTATAATAAAATTAATTATAAAAAAATAGAAGTGTTTAATGTAAATAAACATAAAAAAAATCGAATTGAAATTATTTTAACTCGTTTTTTTTATGAAATTGAATTGAACCATTAAATTTCCATTACATTATGTCAATATTATTCACATTAGCTCACTCATTTTTATACCCGTACGAACGTATGTTCGAAGGGTATACTAAATTTGCCTTACCGTTTGTAACGCTAAGAAATAACGGTGTTAGATATAGACTCAAGTGTATGTTTTTGATCAGCGTCCAATTCTGAGTTGATTTAGCTTTGTCTGTCCGTCCGTCCGTCTATCCGAACGATAACTCAAAAACTAATTGAGCTAAGTTCACCAAATTTTCACAAATGATTTATTGTAGTAAGTGCCAGAACCCTATTTAAATTGGACGTGATCGGGGTACCGGTTCGGGTAGCTGCCATACAACTTCAAAAGTTATTTAGCTATATCTCAGAAACTACGAGTATAAAAGCTGTGATATTGAGATTTCACACAAGTGAATATATTAGTAGGGCCGATGTGCTTGATAAAATTCGCTAAAATTTCTTGGCTCTTTCTGGTAGCTGCCATACAACTTCAATAGTAGTTTGGCACAACCAGTATTTTGAAAAACACATAGTACTGAAATTTTGCGTAAATTAATATGGTAATACGGCAACTTAAAGTCATAGTCTGCCCCCTAGTTAGTTATGGCACATTAGTTATTCGCACATAGGATAACAAATTCGTACGGGTATCACAGAGTTGACAAGGTCAACTCTACTTTTTTTTTCGTTTAAACATAATGTCGAGTTTTTTTTTGTGTTGTTAAAAAATAATGTACGCGTACATCAATTTACCTTACTTGAATATTGACCAACCTTTCAAAATTTTAAGAATATTGTATATACAAAAATACTTTCTATTTATAGTTTATTTATAAATTTTTTTAAATTCGCCTAAAGGCGCAATTTCAAAAGAAAAAATCGATATAAAATTAGTTATTTACATTCAGAATTCTCAGTAAATTTTTATAGTTATAAATTTTGAGAAAAATAAAATCAATAAAAATAAAAAAATATTTTTTTTTTTTTATTTTCCTTTGAAAATTTTAAATTATAATTTCGCAGGGCGGTAACTCATATTTATTGAGTAACCTAAAATTATATGATGCCATCATAATAGTTCATTTTTTTACCGTATATGGCTTCCGAATATTGAAACAATGTTGACATATTTTGTCATTTTTCTTTTATTTTTTTGTGCTTGTTTTAAAACTATCATTTTTGTCTTAATGAAATATTTTTGAATGAATGAAGGTGCATAATGCCATAAAGACTTCTTTACTTTAATAAAATTTAATTTTATCTTTAAATCTTCTATTGTTTTATAATTATCATTTTAATAAAATTATAATATCATTTTGGTTTTTCAAGTGATTATGTAATTTCTTTTATAATATGACTATTTTATAGGTAATAGTAAAATTAATAGGTAATAGTATAATTTATTTACATTTTACAATATAATAGGTAATAGAATTAAAATTTCATATATTAATTTATGTATGTTAGTAGGGTAATGTTGTATAATATTATTCTATTAGGTCAATAAATATTTAATTTTATTGAAAAAGAAACCATAATTTAATATGATAATAACGAACGTTAATAGGTATATTAGAATAATAGCAAGTACTTAGTTTTTGTGAAATAAAATTATTAGTTTGGGAGAAATCAAAGTTGATAAAACATTAAAATGAAAAGCTAAATTCTAAATTAATATGATTTGTAATTTATTTTACTTACAGATATTCGAATGTTTCTCTGAGGCCCTGCAAAGTAGATTCTTCCACAACATATCCTATTGTACTATAATTTACAGAAACGGAACAATAGTCTTGTTGTAATTAGGCAAACAATTTCTTCAATTGATAAATTTGTGAATTCAAAGAAAATTAATCTATAAATTGAGTTTTTTTGATCTTAGTTTTTTTTGTCAAATCAAATTCCTTATACGAGTACATACTATGATCTATAATTGGTTAGTATTTTATTAATGCGAATCACAATTAAGTGAGTTAAGTGATACCGAAGGGAAAAAAAGGTGAAAATTTTACAATATTCTTCAAAAATTAAATCTGAAATTCAAATTTAATTTTTTAAGCTTAGTTTGAAAGTCTTTTTAAAAAACTAATTGAGATATTTGAATCTTCATAGTTTAATCTACGTGTATATTGAGAAATTATTTACAAAATCATAAAGAAATTATTTGTTTGAATTTAAACTTTAAAAATTTATTTAT